TCAGCAGGTGCGTGATACGGGCAGAGACTGAAGGGGTGAGTTGAGGGGTGGAGAGGTAAATTTGCATGTCATCGGCGTAGAGGTGATAGTTGAAGCCGTGGGAGTGTATCAGTTTGCCAAGGGAGGAGGTGTAGATGGAGAAGAGAAGGGGCCCGAGGACAGAGCCTTGGGGGACCCCAACAGAGAGGGGGAGAGAGGGGGAGGTGGTAGCCTTATAGGTAACGCTGAAGGAGTGTTGGGAGGGATAGTAGAGAGGAGAGCCAGGAGAGAGCGGAGTCTCTGATGCCGAGGGAGTGTAGTTTATCGTGGAGGAGGGGTTGGTCAACTGTGTCGAAGGCCGCGGAGAGGTCAAGGAGTAAGAGGACTGAGTAGTGGCCATTAGCTTTGGCGTTTAGCAGGTCATTAGTGATTTTGAATAGGGCGGTTTCGGTGGAGTGTAGGGGACGGAAGCCAGACTGTAGTGGATCGAGGAGGTTGTTGTCAGTGAGGTGAGAGCTTAGACGATTGTAGATTAAGCGCTCAAGGAGCTTAGAAGTGAATGGCAGCAGGGAGAGCTAGCTTAGCTACCTTCCCCATTTTAGGCTGAGTGTCCCCTGCTGAAGGGACAGCTCCTCATTATTATTTTTGTCACTTTTGCCTAGCCTACAGATCATCCCTGGGCTATGTAAGACTTGATGTTTTATAATATACCCTTAGGCCGCTTTCACGTTGATTTGGTGTACTTTTCCCGAAGCTCATGTGCAGTGCAGTGTACCCACGCTCTGGTGTGCGCTAGCGGTGCTTTGCCATGGGCTTCTATTATGTATCATGGTTTTGCGGTTCAGAAAGCGCACCAAAACTGCAGGACATACAGTAATAGAAGTCCATGGTAAAGAGCAGATAACCCACACCAAAATGTGGGTACACTGCAACAAATCAGTGTGAAGGGGACCTTAAATCTTCTTCTTACCTAGGTGATTTTCATGTTTTTACTGCCAAACAACAATGCATGACAAGTAAGCCCATTGTAGTCCATGTGGCCCTTTCACACGTATGCAGTGTGCTTCCATACAGTTTGGAAAAATGTGCAGGCACTTCATTTGATGTTATTTTGGCTTCAGAGCAGTGTTGCCAACCATCCGTAAATGTATGGATGGTTTGCAAAAAACAGGCACTTTTTTCCTGTCTGTACTTGTCCATGGACAGGAAAAAAGAGCCTATTAAAGTGATAAGCTTGTTCTTCTTTACGTTAGGCTCAGTCAGACAAGGTGGGCAGAAAAGCAGTGAAATGTTTACATTTTTAAAAATGATCATTTGTTCTGAAATTTATGTGTATCTGTGAGACTGTCACTTGGGACATAATAAGTAGGAGTATTTTGTAAGTACAAGGACTGTGGTAAATGGGTGAGTGTGTATAGCAAGTCGGCACAGATTCTATTTAATCATCCCCCTTTAAGCCCCTCCCACTGTTAAGAAAAATCTGTTCTCTGCCTCGCTTACTACTGAACCCTACACTCTGCATCTCTTACTACTGATCTCTGAATTCTGGCGGCTTACTTACTACTGACAACTGTACACTGCCCTACAAACTAATGGACTCTGTAAACTGCCCTACAGACTGCTGACCCTATCCTCTGCTCTGCTGACCCCCTGTACACTGCCCTACAGACTAATGGACTCTGTAAACTGCCCTACAGACTGCTGACCCTATCCTCTGCTCTGCTAACCCCCTGTACACTGCCCTACAGACTAATGGCTTCTGTACATTGACCTACAAACTGCTGACCCCTATCCTCTGCCCTGCTGACCCCCTGTACACTGCCCTACAGACTAATGGCTTCTGTACATTGACCTACAAACTGCTGACCCTATCCTCTGCCCTGCTGACCCCCTGTACACTGCCCTACAGACTAATGGCTTCTGTACATTGACCTACAAACTGCTGACCCTATCCTCTGCCCTGCTGACCCCCTGTACACTGACCTACAAACTAACGGCTTCTGTACACTGACCTACAAACTGCTGACCCTATCATCTGCCCTGCGGATCCCCTGTACACTGTCCTACAAACTAATGGCTTCTGTACACTGACCTACAAACTGCTGACCCTATCCTCTGCCCTGCTGATCTCCTGTACACTGTCCTACAAACTAATGGCTTCTGTACACTGACCTACAAACTGCTGACCCTATCCTCTGCCCTGCTGACCCCCTGTACACTGTCATGCAAACTAATGGCTTCTGTACACTGCCCTACAAACTAATGGCTTCTGTACATTGACCTACAAACTGATGACCCTATCCTCTGCCCTGTCAACCCGCTGTACACTGCCCTACAACCTAATGGCTTCTGTACACTGACCTACAAACTACTGACCCTATCCTCTGCCCTGCTGACCCCCTGTACACTGCCCTACAAACTAATGGCTTCTGTACGCTGACCTCCAAACTGCTGACCCTATCCTCTGCCCTGCTGACCCCCTGTACACTGTCCTGCAAACTAATGGCTTCTGTACACTGCCCTACAAACTAATGGCTTCTGTACACTGACCTACAAACTGCTGACCCTATCCTCTGCCCTGTCGACCCTCTGTACACTGCCCTACAGACTAATGGCTTCTGTACATTGACCTACAAACTGCTGACCCTATCCTCTGCCCTGCTGACCCCCTGTATACTGACCTACAAACTAACGGCTTCTGTACACTGACCTACAAACTGCTGACCCTATCATCTGCCCTGCGGATCCCCTGTACACTGTCCTACAAACTAATGGCTTCTGTACACTGACCTACAAACTGCTGACCCTATCCTCTGCCCTGCTGATCTCCTGTACACTGTCCTACAAACTAATGGCTTCTGTACACTGACCTACAAACTGCTGACCCTATCATCTGCCCTGCGGATCCCCTGTACACTGTCCTACAAACTAATGGCTTCAGTACACTGACCTACAAACTGCTGACCCTATCCTCTGCCCTGCTGACCCCCTGTACACTGTCATGCAAACTAATGGCTTCTGTACACTGCCCTACAAACTAATGGCTTCTGTACACTGACCTACAAACTGCTGACCCTATCCTCTGCCCTGTCGACCCGCTGTACACTGCCCTACAAACTAATGGCTTCTGTACACTGACCTACAAACTACTGACCCTATCCTCTGCCCTGCTGAATCCCTGTACACTGCCCTACAAACTAATGGCTTCTGTACGCTGACCTACAAACTGCTGACCCTATCCTTGGCCCTGCTGTCCCCCTGTACATTGACCTACAAACTGCTGACCCTATCCTCTGCCCTGCTGACCCCTGCACTTTGCCCTACAAAATAATGGTTTCTGTACACTGACCTACAAACTGCTGACCTATCCTCTGCCCTGTTGAACCCTGTAAACTGTCCTACATGTACACTGACCTACAAACTGTGACCCTATCCTCTGCCCTGTTGAACCCCATTGTGCTGCCCTACCATTGTCTACCCCCTGACATTTTTTACTGCACAACCACATCAGACAGGCTGGATCTGCCCTGGGATCCGGTGCGATTTGGATAATTTGGATAATCTATCATTTTCTACATGACACCTTGCGTTGTATATAAAAAGTGAGTGTGCTGTGCACTAAATGATCATAGACAGTACCCAAGCAAATAAATGCCACTAAATAATAATATAACAAAATTATATATATATTTAAAGTGTTAAAAGTCCACATTCATGTAATAAATGATTAAAAGTCCCAAATCCAATAACAAAGTGCTGTGTGCTGAAATATCCTCCAACACAAAGTATATGGGTCAAATCATTACCGCACTCTAATACCATGTGCAAAGTGCTTGTGAAAAAAAAAAAAAAAATAAATAAATAAATGTATAAATTTGTTTAATTGTTTGTTTGGGGCAAATTTCAGACCATGGTCTAGTGCATAAATTTCTTCCTGTTTTAAGGGAGTACCACTAATGTTAAAAATCCCTTCTCCTATTGGTTTCTTCTCCTTTTTTTGTTTAGATTTTCTTACTCCTCTATTTCCTCTCTTTCTTCTTTTTCTCTGTTGTGATTCTCTGGATCGAATTATTTTTAGACACATAATAATAGTATGCTCATTGTGGAATTAGACCCCCAAAAACATGGCCGCGCCCAGTATGTATTCAACAAAATGGCGCCTAATTTTACTATATAAGGCAATCAACTAAGGTGACAGTTACTGCGAGTACTTCGCAGTAACTGTCATATTTCTTTATATCAGTCACTATTAATTATACATTTATTTATTTTGTCACAAGCACTTTGCACATGGTATTAGAGCGCGGTAATGATTTGATTGATATTAAATGCACATGTTATGAGAGTGGGCAAACCAGCGACCTTATACACATAATTGTCAGTATACCTCAGTGGCTCACAAGTTAATTAGTACTCAGAAAGTATATGGGTGTCCACAAGTGCTCCACAATCAGCCTTTTACCAGGACACATTGATCTCCAATCAAGAGATCAAACCAGCAGATGGTGTTCAGATCCAACACTGACACCCTAGTTAGCAGTATCAAGGAGATGAATGGACAATGGCAGGTTCACTAAGACGAATCCATTGCATCAAACAGCTCTCTACATCATGTAAGGAAAGGTTAAAACAATGAAGAAAACAAAAGATTTATTAAAGTATTGGGCGGAGCTTTCTGTGACATCACCACGTTCCGACACCATGGGAATTTTAAATGTTTACACTGCCTTTATGCACATTATCTATGTAAGTGCAATACTTTAATAAATCTTTTGCTGGTTTATCGGGTCGCACTATGAAGTTTTCTTCTTTGTTTTATCCTTTCCTAACATGATGTAGATTTTTTCAACACTGTACTGGGACCATTGAACATAGAAAATCTATGCATTGCTTTATTTTTATTTATTTATTTTTTTCATTCAGTTACTCTATCAATTAAAGTAATAGAGGTAGTACTACAGCATTACCTATATTGGAGGAAACGTTATGGAAATATTGACCACTGAACTATTCATTACTGTCTTTTCAGGTATCTTGCAATACGTTATCCATTGCGTTCCCGGGAACTGCGCACGCCCAAGAATGCCCTATTGGCTATCACTCTCATCTGGAGCTTGTCCTTGATCTTTTCTGGACCTTATCTCAGCTACTACCAGGAGTTTCAGATGGCTAATCTAACTGTCTGCCACCCAGTCTGGCAAATCTCACATCGCAAGACCATGGACCTTTGTACTTTTGTCTTCAGCTATGTCATTCCAGTGCTGATTCTAAGTCTCACTTATGCTCGTACTATAAGATACCTTTGGACATCTGTAGACCCTATTGAAGATATGTCAGAATCCAAGAGGGCAAAGAGAAGAGTGACTCGCATGATCATCATTGTTGCTGTCTTGTTCTGCCTTTGTTGGCTTCCCCACCACTTGGTCATTCTTTGTGTCTGGTTTGGATACTTCCCCCTTAATAACTTTACATATGCCCTTCGTATTCTGTCACATCTGGTGTCTTATGCAAATTCTTGTGTTAATCCAGTGGTGTATGCTCTGGTCTCTAAGCACTTCCGGAAAGGGTTCCGGAAGATATTTCGCTGTCTGCTATTGCGTCAGAGGGCAGCCAATAAGATCCATGTGGTCCCTGCCGCCCATGTTGGTGTCAGCACATTAGAGGTGGCATGCACAGAAGTGACTCAAATAAGTGAGGGCCCCTTGCATTGCTCTGCCTGTTGTCAGGACCCTGGGAGTCCTTGGGAGGAGACAGAGAGAGCTGGTGATAAGAGGGGCCCAGCATTCCTCAGATTTAATATTACATAGGCACCAGACACATGGTGAGAGACACCAATAGTGATACACTAAGTTCTGCTTATGAAAGATTTTGGGCTTTGATTCAAGACATCACCATGCTGTAATTAAGCAACCAATCATATAGTGCATAACATAATAAAAGTGCAATAGGGAATAATGTAGCACTACCCCTGTAGGACCCACTTGGTAATTTGGGTTCTCTGTTCTGTATCTTGACTACAAGAACACCCTCAGCCCCTTTGACACACCTGGTTGAATGAAAGTTAATGGAAGCAATTGTAAGAACATGAGTAAACTGTAGATACCTTTAACTCAGCTGTGAAGTAGCAGCCGGTCACAAGACCTTCTAGTGGTAAATGAACTCAATGTATTGGTGCGGGTTGGAATTATAGGTGGTTTGATCAGAAATGAATATACAGAAGGGAGGTTCAGACACAGTCTGCTAGACAGTATAATCACTTTACCAAGGTAACTTATAATAGAGTTCTGTACGACTAGACTGGGATTAACTCATGAACCAGAAAAGCCAGCAATAAACAGTGCAAATATACATAAACTGCAATGTGAATAATAAATATTATGACTAGTGCACTCTAGGAAAATAACTTGGATATAATGCAAGGTACTTCTTAGCATAAGCAATAGGTGAAGGTCTCTGTGTAGCAGCTGTAAAGAGTTCTAACTCTTCAGCCGGCTAGCACTGGGACCCGTAGGTGCACATTAAATAGATAGTCCCAGTCAAGTCTTTAAGCTGTAATAAGGCTACTAGATGACCCTATGGTCAGTTCCTAAAGGGCTTAGTCTCTCCAGCAGCAGATAGTAAATCCCCACAGCAGCAGATCACCAATCCCAGTAATATTGCAACTCATCTTTCAGTCAAACACAGCAATCAGTCCACCCTCTGCTCTGTGTCCAGGTGACTCTGTCAGCACACCTGGACTCTGCAATCTGGATCCCACTTAGGCCACCATTATGCAGCAGTTGTGGTGCACACTGGACATCAATGTGCACTCCCTTATGTCAAGAGGAAGCAGTGTCCTGTACAGCTTGAGAAAATGCAGCTTTTTTCCCTCCTTCTGGCAATCTCCTTTTGGGAAAATGCATTTCAAAAGCTCTTGATTACATTTGAGTCTCTCTCTGGACTACAGTTCCTACAGTTTAGTGCTGCCTGACTCAGTCTTTTGAATATTTCCTGCTCAGCAACTCCCTTCTCTTGCTGAGATAGCTGTTAACCAGTTCAGCACCGCAGGGAAGTTACCACAGACAGCAGCTGCAGCCAGTGTTTCCCTCTTACTCTCCATTCCCAGTCAAGCACCTGGTTACAATAATAAATCCCGGCAACCAGTTGTAAACTAGTTGTAATGTCTAACCACAGTGACCATCTGTAATGTCTAACGTCACTGAATATCTGAAAGCTGATGTCTGGTTGCTTACAAACTTATATTATAAACAATTTAAATGGACATTGTTAAAATTACAACCAAATGAAGGCTGATTATCATACGCTCCAATGACTTACTACACATTTGTGTTCTTTTCAGTATGGTATTGATCCCTTTCCTTTTAAGGTATATGCATACTTTTAGTGCAGATTCTTTAGATATTATTGTTCATTCAGCCCGTATAGAAACAAATTATAGAACACTGTGCCTTATTTAAAGAAAAACCAGGAGGCTGCAAGCCATGGTGAGGCGAAAATGCTAATGACAAGTAAGGTATAATGCCCTTTATTACTTTTGGGAAGAAACACAAAAAATATTAATAAAAGCAATTTACACTGAAAGGTTAGATATTTTTAAAATGGGTGCAAAGAAGATACTTAAAAGGAAAGCAAATCTTGGGGGGGATTCTAAATTGGCATTTGCTGTTAATGGCAGATATTTTCAGGTTCCAGTTCTCTGCTTCTGCTCCCCTGTAGAACATCTCAGCACCTTCAAAACCTATAAGGCTTTGTAATATAGTTTCCAACCTTCCAACATACTGTATGCCTTATATTGATTAGCAGCCACCACCCATCCTCACAGTGTTGGGTCAACAGTATAGCATACAAAGAAATGAGTAGCAGGACCAGTACCAAGAATGATTGATAATAATAATATAGACAGCCTTGATATTTGGGGCTCATGGGACACAAGCCTTTCTCAACCAGGGTTCTGTGGAACCCTAGGGTTCCTCTAGAGGTTTATAGGCATTCCTTAAGCACTGAGCAACATCTGCCTCTCGCATAAGTAACCACTGACACCAATGATCTTTTTAACTATCTGTAAGGGGGATTCTGCCCAAATGAGAGGAGCATTCTTCCTAAAGGCTATCACACTAATGTACTGTTAGCTGTAGATTTGGTAATTCTAAGCAGGGGTTCCATGATCACGGAAAGTTATTTCAACGATTCCTTCATGTTAAAAAGGCTATGAAAAGCTGCTCCATAGGACAGCAAAAGCAGCCTACAATTGCTTTGAGTTACCTGCTATTTAGAGTAATTAGAACTCTAAATTAGAACTACCCCAAGCAACACTATCACTGTAGAAAACAGAAAAAAGTGCTGTAACCCTCACTACCCATCAACCATAATCATCCACCAGTCTGCTCAGGGGCGGACTGACAACTCATGGGGCCCCCAGGCAATAGGGGATCATGGGGCCCCTGTGTCTTTGCCCACACTCAAAGCACACCCAAAAAAGCCTATAAAAAGGTAACAGGGGCATTTCATGGGGCCCCCTACTGACCCCGGGCCCTCGGGCAGAGCCCGAGTGCTCGAATGGTCAGTCCGCCCCTGAGTCTGCTAACAGTAAACAGCTAAAAATGTGATGCCTGAGTGGTTGTTCATCATTGCATTTCATCATTGCATGTTGTAGCATATTATTAAGTGATGGACTTAAATTGGTCATACACAGGAAAATTTTAAAGCTTTACAAGAAAGTGACAAAAATGGAAAAATCTTATCATATACTTACCACAATTTACCTTTTCTGATTAACTCTATGGCAGCATATGAACGGGTAGGCTCAGCCCTCACTCCTACCTCATAGGATCCCTCTCCCATAAATTTTGAGGCAATTCCAGTCCATGGGTTTCATAACTCAACAATTAGGAGGGATCGTATGCTACCATGAAGTTAATCAGGAAAGGAAAATAGTGAAAAGTATTTGATAACAATTTTTCATTTTCCTGACTAACTCTATGGCAGCATACAAATGAGAAATAACTATCTCCAAACAAGGGTAGGATGCTTTAGCCAACAAAACTTTAACACCAAAATTAACTACATATGGATTCTAGATTTCCTCCAAAGTGAGCCATAAAGGTATTAGTGGAGGACCATATTGTCCCACACATTCCTGGAGATGGCCATTAGTAAATGGATGATGTAACAATTACCATCTAGAAATTGGTGATAACACAATTCAAAGCATATATCACCAGTACATCATGGTTTTTGGTTGAGCATGTTGCCATTGTTGCCGCAAGAGTCAAAGTCTTATATTCAGCAATTAATCTGAATGATGTTTTCTTCCCTCTGATTAAAAAAAAGCGACAAAGAGATGCCCTAAATTGCTAATGATGCCAAAGCTTGTGAGTAAGCGCGAAGTAGCCTGGCATCCTGTGACTGGAATTGGTCATCCCAAGTAGTCCTACTTGCAGGCAGGGGCGTATTTACCACAAGGCAAACAAGGCAATTGCCTAGGGCGGCATTTTTCAGGGGGGCAGCACCTCCCCCCAGAAGAATGGATGGAAGAAGGGACACACGTGCACCATGGGAACCAGGTGGGATCCAAGAGGCTGCAGGCTGCTTGATGGTGTATGTAGAGCCGGACTCTCGTTCCTGGGAATGTCTGGAGCTGTGAAGATGGGTGGCTTTCTTTCTATCACTGGGGGGGGGTAGTGGAAGGTTCTCCCAGGTGGGGGGCAAGGGTGTTTTTGGTCAATGTCAGGCTCTCTCCATGGGAGGGGGAATGGGGGGTGGTGTTGGTCATATCCATGGAGGTAGACGATTTTTGTGTTGCCTAGGGCAGCACAAAACCTAAATACACCACTGCTTGCAGGGAGAACAATACCTGAACCGTGCAGAACACCTTTTAGCTCACTGGTTTTGGGAAGGAAAACTGTACTTTGCCAGAATAAATGACCCTTGCACAAGGAAGTTCAAACAACTTCTTTAGAGTGTCTTGGCGAAATGCTTAATGGATTGTGACAACTTGGTCATCGTCATTTTAATCACTGACTGCTTGCGCAAAGTAGGATTCATACAGTCATATTCATTTGATTCTTCTTCTTTGGAAGAGTCTGAAGAAAGTTGATTTGACTGGGAATACTCTGAGACTAGTTGACAGGTTCTGGAAGGAAAACAGGATGTTCACAGAATAGAAACCCCCTGCACAGGTTGAGTGGAAGCAACTCCTTTAGAGTATCTTACATGCTTAACCACTTTCCCGCCACCCTATAGCATATATACTGCTACAGGGTGGCAGGGGTATGCAAAATCAAGTATATATATGTGATTTTGCATTTCCAGGTAGGGGGCCGCCATTAGCAGCCGCGGCTGTCAATCACTGGGTCCCGGCCGGTGATTACCCGCCGGCGCCTGGTGATTACTGAGCGTCTCTGACGGGCAGCAGGGCTGTTTTGTTTACTAACAGTCCTCCTTCCTGTCAACTGGGGTACACTGCTTGGGATGGCTGTGCACAGCACAGCCATTCCAAGCAGTGTGCTTACAGTGAAGCACACTGACACTGCCCCCTAGTAAAACACTCCCTGCACACAGTTAACCCTTTGATCGCCCCTCATGTTAACCCCTTCCTGCCCAGTGCCATTAGTAAAGTATCAGTGCTTTTTTTAGCACTGATCACTGTATTGGTGTCACTGGGGATGTCAGTGGTACCAAGTCAGTTCCCCCCAGTGTCAGAATGTCCGGCGCAGTCCTGCAGTCCCACAATAAGTCCCTGATTGCTGCCATTACTAGTAAAAAAAAAAAAATCCCAGTATACATACTGCCATTTATAACTTTCACG